AGAATAATAGAAACAAGTACATTACCCAGTGTTCTAAAGAATGCAAGAGTAACCCCTGTTTTTAAAGCTGGGGAAAAATTCATGGCAACAAATTATAAACCAATTTCTGTACTTCCTGTTTTATCAAAACTTTTAGAAAAGCATGTTTCAAAACATTTGTATGACTATCTAAAAAGACTTAATCTTTTACACCAAGCACAGTCTGGGTTTAGACAAGAGCACCCTTGCCAAACTGCCCTTATCAATATCATAGATAAACGGGTACAGGATATGAATGACGGTAATATCAACTTAGCAGTCGTATTGGATTTTAAGAATGCTTTTGATGTAGTAGATCATGATATTCTATGTAAAAAACTTGAAATTTATGGATTTGATAATGCTGTTGTTTCTTTTTTCAAATCCTATTTGAATGAAAGAACTCAACAAATTGGTAATGCTCATTATGAAAAACTTTATATCAAGTACGGTGTCCCCCAAGGCTCCATATTAAAGACTGCAGAAAATTATTCTATAATGGTTATATCTTACCACTAATTGATTATTGTTGTATAGTGTGGAGTAGTTGTAGCAGTCAGGGATTAAATAGGATGTTAAAATTACAAAAGAGAGCTGCTAGAATAATACTAGAAACAGACCCTTTCGCTCCTTCCGAGTCCTTATTCAAACACTTAAACTGGATGACAGTTGAACAGAGAATAAAATATCACAAGTTTGTGATGACATTTAAGTGCATCAAAAATGATTCCCCATCATATCTTACTAGCAAGTTTCATTATGTTTCAGACAGAAATTCATACCCCTTGAGAAATGCTGTTCAATGAAACCTCATACTCCCTAAACCAAAAATAGAATTGTTCAAGAAATCTTTTATGCATTCTGGACCATTCTTGTGGAATAATTTGCCAATATCGTTAAGAAATATTACAAATGTTAATTCTTTCAAATACAAAATAACAGATCATTTATTGAAATCAACCTGTTGAAAAAAATATTGAATACTGATTATTTCATCATGTTTATTTTTTCATAACATTTTATCAAGTTGTATTGAACATTATCATCACACTTGACTTTTATACTAATGTATGTCATGTATATGTTTGCATTTTTGTTTATGATTTTCTATGATGAGGGCCTCAGGGAAGATTAGTTATATAGCTAACTGTGTAACCCTCTTAAAATAAAGTATTGTTGTTGTTGTTGTTCTTACATTCATTTTATTTGAACTTTGGTGGATAGTTGTATCATTGCCAATCATACCACATCTCCTTATTTTCATATAGAACAAACAAAACTTTTAACAAAAAAATAATCACCAAAAAACTCCCTACGTTTGTTTCCCTAGGCCCAATTGGACCCTTGTTTTCCATAGGCCCATCTGGACTACTACAGTCTTCCTTCAATATATAATCAATAAAGATATGAACTTCCAAGTTGAGATCGCTGTACTTATCTGTAGCCATGTATTCACAAAATTTAAGTGACGGCATATTATTGTAGGTAATGTCATTTCGTTTGTTGATATTACTTTGACGAATTAGAATTAGTTCTGTGTGTTATTTTCGGGTAGTAATTATGTACTGTATATGATCAAAGTAAAGTGCTGAAAAAAAACATTTCTTGTCTGGTAGGAATATATTTTCAAAATGTCTTCTATGAAAAGTACAAGATGGAATGAAACTAGCACAAACGCTATATTTCCTGCTATTCTCTGACCACCGACCTTTGATACTGTGTAAATAAAACGCCTTTCGTTTTTACCTTTCATTTATTGTCCATTATACCGGCATGATAGAAATAAGTGGGAAATTTTTCTAAACTAATGTTTATTTGAAGATCTTCTGTGTATCGGTTGTTATTCCATTGATTTATGAACATTTAAAATATGAAATTTTATGCCGCTTCATGTTCATGTGCTTTTCCCAAGTAAGAGATATCGTCAGTGGGTTCTTTAATTATGTTCTTATTAATATTTTTATATCTTTCCACATTTCAGTTTCCTTTTCTCACCTTTGTTTAAAAAATGTAGGGACATTGATTTTTGTTTGGTTCAGAAAACATTTTGATCACTCTTTTACAATATTTTAACCTGAAAAACAAATTTGGTGTTTAATCCCCCCCCCCTTTTTTTACGTGTTATAAATTTGTTCTATTTACACTTTTTCTAGACTTTTGAATTATTTCACAATTGATACTCCGGGGCATTTTATTGCCTACTATACGAAATAAGTTCATAGGCAAATGCTGTACGATGACTTGTCCACATCCTTGTTCATTGGTATTTGATGGGTACTTGTCTCATTGGCAATTAACAACATATCCTTACTTTTATATTGGACGACTTTGAGCTTGACATATCATGTGTACACTTATCCGTCTTAAAACCATATAATTTATCCATATATACGTTCGGAAACATCATTGCTAATATATGACATTATCTAGACATTTTGATCAAGTTCGTGTACAAATTTTCCGTTTTCTTTTTGTTAAAGATTCATCCAGCAGAGGCAGTTGCTTAGTTAAAAATAATGAAGAAATGCTTTTGAAGTCATCATTATCACAAAAGCTACTATATAACATTTTTGTTCGCTTTGGAGATTCCGTATATCGTCAGGTTATCGGAATTCCAATGGGGACTAACTGTGCACCACTTATTGCGGACCTTTTTTTGTATTGCTATGAGTTACAATTTATGACAAAAATCAGCAAAGACCCATCGAAACAACATCTGATACACAAATTTATTAATACTTTTAGATATTTGGATGATATTTTGGCTCTCAATAATGACGACTTCAGTGTGTATACTAAAGAAATTTATCCTGTTGAACTTACTTTAAATAAAGCTAATACTAACAATGACCACTGCCCTTTCCTCGATCTTGATATCTATATCATTAACGGAAAGCTTAATACTAAAATATATGATAAAAGAGATGATTTTTCATTTCCTATCGTTAATTATCCATTTTTAGATGGTGACGTTCCCTTGTCACCATCTTACGGTGTTTATATATCTCAACTTGTACGATTTGCTCGTGTATGTAACAATGTTTTAGATTTTAACGAGAGAAATTTATGTATTACTGAAAAATTATTACACCAGGGTTTTCGATATCACAAACTAGTCAAAACATTTACTAAATTTTATCGTCGGTATAAGGACATCATTCGTAAATATAGCTCAACATGCAGACTTCTTATACGTTCAGGTATTTCACATCCAATTTTTTATGGAAATATTCTTTATAAAGCACAAAAATGTCAGTATTCACCTCTGAAGCTAACAAAACCTGTAAATAGACTTATTAAGAAGGGATATAGTTACGATACTGTTGTCAGGTCATTAAAGATTGCATATTTTGGCGTTAATATTGATTCACTTATAGGGTCTTTGCATCCGCACTAAACACATTTATTTAAAAACCAGTTGTTGGCATGACACGGGTTATGTTCTTCTCATATATGTTATGATGGTATGATACTAAACCCCTAACGGGAAGGATTGTGCCTGATATTCATATGATGAAGACATAATCTTTCAATCAGTTTAATTGAAGTCTGGAGCTGGCATGTCAGTTAACTGCTAGTAGTCTGTTGTTATTTATGTATTATTGTCATTTTGTTTATTTTCTTTGGTTACATCTTCTGACATCAGACTCGGACTTCTCTTGAACTGAATTTTAATGTGCGTATTGTTATTCGTTTACTTTTCTACATTGGCTAGAGGTATAGGGGGAGGGTTGAGATCTCATAAACATGTTTAACCCCGCCGCATTTTTGCGCCTGTCCCAAGTCAGGAGCCTCTAGCCTTTGTCAGTCTTGTATTATTTTTAATTTTAGTTTCTTGTGTACAATTTGGAGTTTAGTATGGCGTTCATTATCACTGAACTAGTATATATATTTGTTTAGGGGCCAGCTGAAGGACGCCTCCGGGTGCGGGAATTTCTCGCTGCATTGAAGACCTGTTGGTGACCTTCTGCTGTTGTCTGTTCTATGGTCGGGTTGTTGTCTCTTTGACACATTCCCCATTTCCATTCTCAATTTTATATAGATTACTTAAGCTGTATTTGGCAAAACCTTCCAGAGTTTTGAGTCCTCAATGCTCTTCAACTTCGTACTTTAATATGCCTTTTTTAACTTTTTTCCTTCGAGCGGTACAGATGAGTCTTTTGCAGACGAAACAGGCGTCTGGCGAACACAATTTTAATCCTGGTATATAAGATGTGTTTATATTTATTCATATATATAACATATGCAGTCATACTGCATCCACGTGATCAGCTTTGCCATCTATAGCCAATATTGAGGTTTTTTTCTCAGAGTGTGGAATGTAGTTAACAGGTATTACTTTTATGAAAATAAACATATGCAAACCATTGTATCTAACATTAGTATTGTTTTACAATTTAATATCGAAATTTAAAAGTAATTTGCGTTTTTAAGAGAAGTAACACTAAAAAAATTGCAGATTTCTTGCCTTGCAAAATTATAATACAAGTGTTCGCTTATCCTGTTTTAATGGAAAACACTGGCCACAGTTCTTTTTTAGTGTTCTCAACGTATTTCATAATAGTGTTTTCTTAATCATACCCGTTGATGATGTCTTACTCATGCAATTGATACGGAATAACATTTTCTACAAGATGAGCCTAGTGAAGGCCTTCATAAATACAACCCAGACACATTTTGGGATTAAGATTTGTAAATTTCTGCAGATCTATTGAACTTTCAAGGTAACAGGTAAATCTTTAGGTAAGATTGAACACATGTTAGAACTACATACATATATACATAAACATGAAAAGTAGATAATGTCAGTAGCACTGTAGTACCTTGAGAATTAGATAAGACTTGTTAGATTTGCAACAATGAACTTGCTTTTCCAGTGTATTATTGCCTTCTTTACTGTTACACATTACGTTATTGGAGAAAAGGAAGCAAAACGTATATTGCTGAATGATCCTGATGTTGTCCATGATCGCTTGAACCGCATGGAGAATATGTTAGTGATACTCAACAACACTGTGAAACAACAATCTAAATCCTTACTACTGCAAGCTACAACCATAAAACAACAAGCTACAGCTATACAGCAGCACGGTACAACCATACAGCAGCAAGGTACAACCATACAACAGCAAGGTACTACCATTCAGCAGCAAGGTACAACCATTCAGCAGCAAGGTACAACCATTCATCAACAAGCTACAGATATACAGCAGCAAGGCACAACTATACAGCTACAACAAACAGAGATCAGACAACTCCAATCTACTCAAGGTAATAAAATTCATGGTACCAATTTATTTATACTGCACCAGATGCGCATTTCGACAATTTTTGAAATGTCTATTTAGTGATGCTCGAGGTCAAAATATTTGAACATCCAAAACTTATTCAAAAATTAAAGAGCTGATAAAACCAAAAAGGACAAAAAGTAATCCTTAGTCGGGCAATGAATCAATGTTGAACACAAACTCACGCTCACTCTTAATATAACTGTCATCCTTTGTAACGCAGTAAACCTATTACTGTATTGCCAATACGCTAGATAATTTTAGTAAAATAAATTTAACAGATAAAAAAACACCATGAAGACCAAATTCAATAAATTCAATAAATGACCCAAAAAAAATACTATGGAATAAGCAAAGGAAACCACTGACAAAGATCTTGACATTAGACAGGCGCATGAACTTGTGATTGGGTCCTGTATATTCCACCTTACAGTTTAGCATCTATACCGTTGAACCCCAACATAGATTTAAAACAGCATTGAGATGAAAACACGATATATGGCACAATGTTCAAAATAAATATTTGTAAGAGTTACATTAAGCAGAGAAAATATTTTTCTACAAAAAATAGTATTCATATTAATGCATAATTACAAGACTCAAGGCCTCACAACAATAGTCGAATCAAGCCAAAAATGAAAATGTGATGGAAAATTTCCTTTGAATGTTTGCAGAAAAAATGATATCCATATTTTTGTCATCTTACAGAAACACAATGTATATATTACATTATTTTCAAACGTTTGACTGAAAGATCTACAATAAAATTGGGTGTTAAATATTGCAGGAACTGGTTCAACGTACATTATCTGGGGACGGAAGCAATGTCCGAATAATACAGACACGGAACAAGTCTATTCAGGTAACCAAACTAACTTAATACTTCGATATAAAGAGCCTTTGCCTTTTCTCTTGCATCATAGGAACTCATACTTTCAAAGGTACACATGCATGTTGTCCGCCATCGTCATTCCCGACTCAGTAGGCTATCGACGTAAACAAACTATGGACTTTGCACCTTTATCATAAGAAGATTTCTAATGTTTCCGCTTCAGCAGTTATCATACTGGTAAATGAGGCAACTAACAACTTAAAAAAAGACACACTAAACGAAAACAAAAATCTAAAAAGCACTAAAAAAGTGCTTATTTGTAAAAGAATATACTTCTGTGTCTCCTTTATAACGGTAAGTTACCAATAATTAATTAATGTTTTAAACTAAACATGGCCATTTTGTTTCGCTAATTTTTCGCTAATTGTTTTTTATGTATGATATTATCTAACTCTTCACAGTTCTAATCTTGATCTAACTTTTATTTTAGGATATGTGGGGGGAGGAATGTACGACCAACCAGGTTCTGCAGCAGAGTATGTCTGTCTCCCACCAGACCCAGACTTTGGAAGGACAAGTGGTTATGATAACGGTCGTATGTATGGTGCGGAATACGAAACGAACTTTTTCGGTACCGCCGATGAAGATGTTCCATGTGCTGTCTGCAGAAAGACAAGTTCAACTTCAATCTTAATGATTCCTGGTAAGAACAAATGTTATTACGGATGGGATATGGAATACCATGGATATCTAGGTTCGGGGGAATATGATCATGCAGCCGCGTCATCGTATGTTTGTGTTGACAGCCGTCCTGAATATCTGAATGGTGGTGTTCAAAATGAAAATGGCAAACTATTTTATTCTGTGTTAGCAAAGTGTGGAGCGTTGCAATGTCCTCCTTATATGAACAATTATCCTCTTACGTGTGTTGTATGTTCAAAATAATACATGTTTATTAACAGAAATAAATATTTGTATGGAACAACTGGTGCTGTAATGCCATCAGCGCTTTTACTGTTGCTTGTTGCTGTTTATTCTCCTGCTTGATGCATAAAGTAAATTGAAATATCTAATCTTTAATACGAGAAAGGCTATTGAAATAATATTAGTTTTAAAAAGGGACAAACTCTAGACATCTAATAAGAAAAATTGACCATTTAAAATGTCTTAATTATATCACGGCACATTATTTCTTTCCGTTTCGTTTCCTGCATTAAGCTTTATTTCGCTGGCAAGAAATATAGTTTGTTTATTTTAATTGATATGTTTTCAAACGGATTTCTTTTCGATCTTTCTCAAATATCAGTTAGTTCCGTCGAAATATATTCGCTCCTTTAGAAAAAGAAAACTAGTTTGGACCTCTAAAGGATTGTTTCGTTTGCTTTGATATACATTTTGAACGCGCAAACAAATTATTTCACTCCAAAAAAACTGATTTTTATATATTGCAGTTTTCATCCAACTATTTACAATAATTTATTCAGCATATCTTGGATTCCGGCTGTCCATCCCCAGGCTTTTTTAACAAATCCCAAAACTTTTGGATGTATATGATTTAAAATTGACTTCAAGGGAGCATCTTTTATCTAGCCAAAATCAACCAAATGTTGTTTTTTTGTTTTTTTTTCATGTTGAAAAGATTTCATAAAAGGCCATTAACATAGTCAAGATTTTCTTTGACACCGTGTTCGTCTACATCATATATTTGGCGAGCGATTCATGGTTGATCGGCTCTAAATGATCATGGCTGTGGTTTCTTGCTAATAAAAATAACGGGTAAAAGGGATTAAAATTGAAATTATTTGAAAAAAAAACAGGTCAACGTTACAAAACTCTAATTCAGTTTGAAAGAATTATATTAGGAGGAAATACGTTATAATGACGTATAAATAAAGGCAACAGTAGTATACCGCTGTTCGAAACTCATAAATCGATAGAAATAAAAACAAATCCGGGTTACAAACTAAAACTGAGGGAAACGCATCAAATATAAGAGGAGAACAACGACACAACAAAAACACAACATTAAAAATGAAACAAACTATAATATAACAATGGCCATTTTCCTGACTTGGTACAGGACATTTTAAGAACAAAATGGTGGGTTGCACCTGGTTTTGTGGCATGCCGAACCTCCCGCTTTAATGGCAACGTCAAACACAACACCAAAACGACAACATCACATGACAGGACCACAATACAAATAAATGGGAGAACATATAGGACAAAGAAACACACGAATAATAGCTAACAAAAGGTACTAGGCTTAAAATTCAATACGCCAGACGTGCCTCTCGTCCACACAAGACCATCCAGTGACGCTCAGATGAAAAAAGCTTGAAAGCCAAAACAAGTACAAAGCCGAAGAGCATCGAGGACCAAAACTTCCAAAAAGTTGCGCCTAACACGGCCAGGGTTTTTTGCCCCTAGGACAAGAACATCCTTATTATTTAGAATAATTTATAGTTTTGCAAACAGTAAATTTTATAAAATGACAATATAATAGATATACATGATAAAACCGAAGTGGGGACTAACTACAGAATAAAATCGGATACATTACATAAAACAACTTAATCCAACATATAAAAATACACAGCCGAGTTAGCCAAAGCATCAACGCACAAAGTGACGTCACATTTGAATTTGTAAAAATATTTCCCAAAAATAAGATAGCATTAGGACTGATTCAAGATTAGATTTGTAATACTGACATTACATTTATTAATAACAATGAAAATTACAATACTTATTAATATCAAACTGTGGTAGTAATTAGATAATTAGTTGTATTATCTAGCTATGTCGGTGTTTCTTCTGAATCAAACTGTAAACCAAATATATCGTATAAATTTCGTTGAACCAAACTAAAATCTAATAAATGAAGGGGGGTGATTAATTATCTTTACCATAACACACGAATATAACAGAAAAGACGTTAAGACATTTGACGAAATCCGACGAGAATAAAAAATATAACATAAAAATTAAATACATGAATTTGGGATAGAAAGGTATCGTGACAAGTCTTATAGCAATGCGGTTTCACACTCAGCAAAACAGTCACAATCGGGAATAAGTCACGTTCGGTAGTTAAAAGATGAGACGACGTATATTTCGCTAAAAGGGGGAAACCATTGTTTTTCCATGTAGTCTGCCTGGTTTTGCATGACAGTAGAGTAAAATTACAAAAAACATCTATTATTGCAATTTAATGAGATAAGGCCAATTTCCCCTTTGTTTGTTCTACACCAGAGCCATTTCAAAAGGTATTGCATCATAATTCGCATTTCACATTATTTCTACCGAAAGTGCATACTTTGAGGTTCTTCCAACATTGTGTCGTAACTCTCGTCGTGTAACCAAACTATTATAACTGCTTGCAGACGGACTGACAACCTCAATTTTGATAAAAATTAGGAATTTGTAGCCGGGTTTTCCGGAGAACAATGGACGGCTGTTAACAGTTTCCGTGCAATAACTGTTGAACCGTTAAACAAATGATTTTTTAAGTTACAAAATGAAGGTGACTGGTCAAATTCGATATTGACAATTTTCAATTTTACCGTTCATGAGTTATGGTCCTTGGTAGATTAGAAAATTTCACTTTATGTTGTTTCCGTGCAATAACTTATAAACCGTTCAACCAATGATTTTTTTAAATTTCAAAATGATGTTAGTGATGATGAAATGGAGGTCAAGTTCGATATCGACGAGTTTAACTTTTACCGTACAGTAGTACTTTTATCCCTTTATACATTGAAAAATGACACTTTATGTGCAAAAAGTTATGAACAGTTCCGATATGTGCTTTTCATATTTTATATGTTGTTACTCGATTGATTATGACAAAATGGAGGTCAAGTTCGATTTTGATGTTATTCACTTTTGACTTTCAGTAGTTATGGTTCTTCGTAGATTGGAATATTGCACCTAGTTACCGTTTTATAATGAAGAAAAGTGTCGTATCGATTCTATAAGACTATGTTTTCTTACAAAATACTTTAAATTAGGCCCAGTTATCTTCCTCCTTTAGTCTGAATTAAAGTGCTTCGTAAAAAACTACTCCATCTGGTGCCTTCATCGCCGTTTTTTTTTTCTAATTGTAAATGATTCAGTGTAGTAACACGATAAGGCAAATAAGTACAATATGAAACAAACAATTTCAGCACGCGAGTCAAATGTAATCGAATACAACAAATTCGTAGAAATTATTTTTATTAAAATCAATTGCAACAGCTGACGATTAACTGAATTATTTTGAACTTTTACCGAGTAGAATGGAGTTTAACCAAAAGTGCATATTTTTCATAATTGGGATCTTCCCAAATGTCTTACTAGCTAAGAATTGCCGTAAGATACCGCCATTTTTAAATCGGTTACGTGATGGTACCGATATAACAAAGTTAGATTTATTACCTTTAGATTTAAGCTCAACCGATCGATTCAGGTATCCGGTTTTCGATTTCTCCTGCGACTTGAAATAACAAAGATTTTGAATGGTGTAAGTAAATTATCTTTAAATAAGAAAATAATTCATGAACTAACATTAGATATATAATTAGAATAATTACACATCGTAAAGGGTTTTGGATATTTATACCGTAGAAAGTGGATTATAATTATATTTTTTTTATCTAAATTCCAAAAAGGGGCAGAAGATACCAATTGGACATTCAGAACTCATTAGTCGAGAGGAAATGACAACGTCATTGCAAAAAAAAAACGAAAGACAAACAAGTTCACAAAACAATACATAAAAAACTAAAGACTACAAGTATCACGCTGTTTGTCTACTTTTTAATTAACATGTTTTATTGGAAAATGGTCTCAGTATCCTTAAATGATACCAGGTACTTGTTGAGTAGGAATTTCTTTGCTATCTACCAAGCATTTCTATGAAATAATGTTCAATAAGGGCATATTAACATTTTATTTAGAAATATATAAAACTTTAAAAAGTATCCACTTTTAAAAAGGTTGAATATGATATACCGGACCAAGTTCAGAATATTGTTAATATTCCAAGTGGAAGGCTAAATTCTAATATCGAAATTCTTAAAATCAGCCACGCTGTAAAGAAATCAATGGCCAGAAAAGTAGACGTAGGCATCGGACAAGGAATATTTTCTGCAAGTGGTTCTTATGAATCATTCCAAGACTATCTGGCCAATTCATCAAAGTACATAGAGGAAATGACGTCATATACATTCGGGTATAAAGTTAATATGATGCCTGATTGGGCACTTGAATTTGGTCGTGTTGCAAAAATGTATATAGAAAGGTTTCTCCCGCAAACGTTTGATAGTAGCACTTTTCCGAAGTACATGAAATTTATAAAGACTTTTGGAACTCATTACTTCAGTCAGGGAAAGTTTAGAGGCCTTCTTAAGCTAGTTCTTACAACGGATCAGAGTTACTTCCAAGGACGGACAGATACCAAAGTGAAAGTTCAAGCCAGTGCAACATTCTTCAACATAATAAAACTAGGTGGTGGAGGGTCCTCCAGTAAACAAACGGTTGATTCAAAATTCACAGAGGTTACTCAGAAAAGTGTTCGGTAAGTAAGCGTATTATTAAGGTTTTAAATAGTTTTAATTTTTTTTTCTCTATTCGAGTTACATAGAAAAAACTGGAAGGAGGTTAATGTCAATGAACAATATATGATTAATTATATCTACAAATAAATTGTGAATAGGAAAATGAAAAGTGACAGATGCTGGTCATGCTTATGTAACATGATAAAATGAACACATTGTTTTCATTGTAAGGATACTGTAACATGTACAAATGATATAGTTCATCATTTTTTTATTCTGTACACTATCGCCATATCATCCTTTCTTATTTTTATTAGATTGTATCCCTACTTTAATGTGAAAAAGGTGTCAAATACTTTCCATTTTCTTTTCGAATGTTCCCATTATTTATGAAAATATCATTAT